TCGGGGGCTGTTCTGTTTCTAAGGGCTGTTTTCAAGAAAAATTGATTTGAGCCTTCACATAGAAATTCTTGTTCAATTTTGTAGACTTATAGTTATAGTTCTCGCTCTTATCTCTATGCTTTGGTCTGGACTCCGGAGTTGTTCTGCTATCGTTTATCGGTGATCTTTTCTATGTACAGGCTTCTTACTCCACCGGCTACTCCACTTTTTCCGTCCTTGGATATGGAAGTGCAGAAAACAATAACGAATCAGACTGAGGTTACTAATGACCGTGTATTCGCTCCAAAATCTCGGGTAAGGACTCGTTAAAATGATTTCTAGATGCATATAAGCGTTAAATTCTATGAGATGTATGTGCTGCATTCGTACATTTGACTCATTGTTGTTAATTCTATGAAATGTACGTGCAGCATTTGTACATTTGACTCGTTGATCGTAGATTCTATGAGATGTATGTGTGTCATAGTAATGTTGGACTTGAATCTTCCCATAGTTTTAGTCTTCTTTACGAGTTACAAACTTATGACTGCATGTGGTGTTTTATTGTTTGTTTTGGGACATTTCATTTTACTTTTGAAGTCTTGATTTGCAAATTTATGCTGTTATGTTTCCATAACTTGGGACTTTCAGCTAGCAAACAACCAGATAGAATCTGCTTCAAGGAACAATATAACATCTAAGCAGCCAACATTGCCGTCTGGACTGAACTCTTCCAGTACTGGTAACAGAAGGCCCTCAACACCCAGAGGGTCAGGAGCTGCTACTCGTAGGTCTACAACTCCAACTGGACGGTCCACAACACCAACTGGGCGGTCCACATTACCTTCATCAACCAAGCCCTCACGATCCTCCACCCCAAATTCACGAGCCACCTCATCATCCGCAAAGCTTGCGGCTCCTCCAGTGAGATCTTCAACTCCTTCTCGGTCCACTCCTCGCTCTTCTACACCAACTGGCAGACCTTCTGCACCAACATCAAGATCAGCGACACCAACCCGTCAACTAAGTTCATCAAGTGCATCTGCTGTATCTGCCCCTCCTGGTCGATCTTCTTCAGCATCAAAGTTACGTCCCACAAGTTCAAAAACTCCCGTTTCATCACGTGGAAGTTCTCCAACGGTAAAACCAAGGCCCTCAAAATCCTCTAAGATTCCTGGGTTTTCACATGATGCTCCGCCAAATTTAAGAACATCATTGCCACAAAGGCCGGCTTCAGCCTCTAGGGATAGGCCTGGAGCGCCAAGTGTTAAAACATCTTCTGTTGTGGCTGGTTGCAACGGAAATCCAAGACAGCAATCGTGTTCACCTTCTAGAGCACGGGCTTCAAATGTTATTACCGCTACCAGTGGGAACTCTCATCGAGTCATAAGCAGAGCATCTGCCCATGACAATGATGATGTGAACCCTGTACTTATGGGAACACAAATGGTTGAGAGAGTAGTAAACTCGAGGAGATTGGCACCACCTAAGCAATATGACCATTACACTACTCTTAAGGGTTCTGCTGGGAAGCCTTCATCCTCTGAAAGCTCAGGCTTTGGAAGAAATCTTTCTAAAAAGTCCTTTGATATGGCTATGAGGCACATGGTATGTATCACCTTCGTTGTTCAAGTGCACTTTGTTTCACTTAATGCGTAATGTTCTGCATTCAGATCTTGCAACCCACTTAGTACTATCCAAATTATGCTTGGTGTGATACATAATTATCCGCGTCACTAGCAAAGCACTCGTTGTAAGAAGTAGTTTTTAACTAATTTTGGAATTTTCTTATGCAGGATATAAAGCGAAGCATGGCAGGCAATCTACGGCCAGTTCTGACAAATGTTCCAGCCTCCTCTGGGTATAGCGTCAGAACAAAACCAACAAAAAGCAATACAATTGGTGCTATGGATTCTCCTCTTGCCACATGCAGCAATGCTAGCTCCGAACCAAGTGTCAACACCATTCCTGTTAGTTTGGAGGGGTGTGAAGTTGAAGATATTGATCTTGGAAGTGAGAGAGGAAATTCCTCTCCTGCAAGCCATCGAGGTAGGTGACCACCCCATGTGACCATCAACCCCGGATTATTGGTTTTGCATCCATCCTCGTCATTATCTCAACATTATTATTTGACATGGGGTTGGCCTAATCAGCATGATAATTAAGCGGCAACTCATTCCTGAAGGAGCTGATGGTAGAAGGCACGCGATAATACTGTAAATGTTAGAGAAAGCTTGTGAGTGCACGTCTGTTCTGAATATCGGTCCTCACATTGCTAGCGGAACAAATATCAGGTGCATCCAATGAACCATATTCTCTGTAGACATGATTGTTCGTATTATATTTTGATGATTGGAAGCTGAAGACCTCCTTCGGCATTTACATTTTGCTGTTCACTTCAAACTACGAAACTTGAAATTATTAAGGTTTCATTCTTCATATTGTTGTCATATTAGAACATTCCACGTCGAGTTGCTTAAGGTAGTGAATTTCACATTCCTGTTTTCTCCTTTTGCACTTGTCTCCTTTTTTCCGACTCTTGATTCTCTTTTGACCTATTCAATCCAAATCCTAAGAAAAGGGGAGGAATGCAGGAGAGAAAAATGAGTGCGGAAATCACTTCCGCTTACTTAATTATGTCGAACAGTAAATAAGGTGTTTGAAGTGAAGGGAATGTTGATAAAGGTTAACCAGTTGGGTTGATAACGTCCGCATGTTAACCCAAAAATCTCTCGTGCGTCAAGAAAGAAGGATTTTTCCTCCTAGCAAGAAAAAATCAACTAAGATATATTTTCTTTTGTACAAAACTTGGTTTTGGTGAGTTTGAAACTTGAGCAGTTTCCGTGTGACCGATTACCTACCAGTACCAGAAAATGCCTAAAGAATTATGGAGGAGAATGCCCAAATCAATCAAATTTGACCTACGAGTGTGATCACTCCCATTAAGTCCCTCTCCACCATAACCCTCACTTTAAATTTGCCTAATCTGTCCCTTCCCTTGCAGTTTGGGTAAGAGATTAAACCCAAGAAAAACAATGTCAGCCATCACGAACAGTCATAGCCTCTCCTCTCACTCGTTTCTGTAATTGGTGCTTTTGATCTCTTCAAATTTATCAAATTTCCCACTGAAAAGTGATAATTCACTAAACCCAATTCCTATTTCCTAAACTTTTGTTCGTACGCAACATGGGTTTTCAATTTAATCCTCCCCCTTTACTTTCCCACCGGCCATCTGCCTTCTCTGTTTCTATGCCATTTGGGTTTTGGTTTTTGGTTAAAACCATACAGGCCCAGAAACGCAAAAGCACTTTTCCGTTACATAAGCAGGATTCCAGAGCCTCCCATTTCAGCTTAGGGTTCCAGATTCCACAGTAATCTACTTTTCTTCAAAGTTCCCAGCTTTTGTTTTTTCAATGTCATTTTACAGATGAGAAAGTTCTTGACTTTAATTTTTGGTTCTTTGTGCTTTTGCTTCTTTTTTTGCTTAGTGGGTTATGATGGATTTTGGAGCTTGGTTCTGTGCTTTAGGATTAGGATTTTAGGAGATAAGGTGAATGATATTTTTTTGAGGAAAAAATTAAAATTAGGAGAGGAAAAAACCCCTGGAATCCCGTATATGTGTGGTCATGCAATAAACCTAACAAATAGCAAACTTTTATTTATAAAGTAAATGTTTTTGGAAATCTATTTTTTTTATTAAAAAATAAAGACCAGCTGGTAATTTCGCTACTGCAATTCACCGATTAAGAAAGAGTCACATGCAATAAATTGAGTTGTCAAATCCTATTTGAGACTTCTAATTGGATTTTGAGGGCCAAGTATCTCTAGAGGCCCATTTTCACAGTCCCCCAATTTAAATAAAGTCCAAATGGACCTCACCCAGCTTACTAACATTCTTTATGACCGCGACGTTTATTCCCGGTCAATTACGTACCAAAACATTATAAATACAACTTTTCCTGTTTCAGCTCATCCTATGTGGCCCGTCAGATAAAAAAAAATAAAAAAAAACAGTCGATGCTATTTTGTAAGAGGAAAATTAATAAAAAAAATTTTAAAAACTTTGAGTTGTAATGATAAGGATAAAATAAAAGTTAAAGTGAATAATACCAGGATTAACTTTTTAATGTAAAAATATAATTTTTCGTTAAAGTGAAAAGTACTGGAAGTTTTTCGTTAAAATTTCATTTTGTAAGTGATTGACAAAGTTAGCAACTGGGTCTCAGCCATTAATCTTAGTCTGTTTTCTCAGTTAAATTTATCCCAAAAATAAGTCTTAATCCAAGTCATTTTTATAGCCCAATGATTGGAGAAATTTTGGACGAGTTTAAAACTTAAATTTTGAATTTTAACTTAACCATTGATGTTGGTCTTATAATTATATATATATATATATATATATATGTATAAAATATATTTTCAAATTGAAATTTCATGTAAGTAATAACAAAGTTCAGCCTGGTTTCCGTTAATTAGCTGACAAAAATCAAATTAACTGTCTGAATTAAAAAAATAAAAAATAAAATAATATCGTATTTTCCACAGTACACGAAATGGAAAAGTCTTGTTTGAACTGTTGCTGTTAAAGCATCACAATATTCGTCTTTTTTGAGTTAATCCTCTCAATGATGAATCAATTATTCGATATTCTTTTTTTCTAATTTTGGACGGAAAGGAAGAAAAGTAATGAAATACGCGATGGCTATTGAATAGCCTCATTTTATTTTCGCAATAATAAAGACCTGTACCTTTGTATTTCGGTGGCCAATTCTTGATGCCTCTTGAGCTGAACGATTCGGAAAAGTCCAAAAATCCGACCCACGATCCAACGGTTCGGATCCGTACATTCAAAATCATGGGACTCCTCCATACGACACGCGTCAAATTATTTTCTCGTCTACCCGCCAAGGGCATGACACGTAAGGCAATGGGTCCGGACCGAATGGATATAATGGTAATTTGGACACATAACTGCCCCCTTGGGCGTATAAATACCCGGCGAGTCTCATTGTTTGAAGCCGTAGGCAGAGAGAGGGAGATAGAGAGGGAAAGTTAGAGAGAGAGAGAGAGTGAGGGCGAAGAGGTCTGAGAGTAGTGAGAAAGGAGGAGCAGAGAGCGAAACTGGAGAATTACTCCCAAATTTTTCACAGAAAACCCCCTGATCTTTTCAAATTACGAATTGGCCTCAAATTTTCGCGCTTTCGTTCTCGGATTGATCTAAATTAATGAGCCGTTTAGGGTTTAAGTCCGTGGTCTACCATGGCGAGCTGTGTTTGGGGGAGCTGGACGCTATTCCGGTGACGGAGGGGAGTTTCCAGTTCCCAAACAATGAGATTCGAATCCACCGGATTTCGCAGCAAAGCGAGAGGTGTCCTCCCCTCTCGATTCTCCAGACGATTTCTTCGTTTTCGGTTCGATGCAAACTCGAATCGTCCTCCCCTGTCGAACAGCCGCATTTGATCAATCTCCACGCCTCCTGTTTCTATGAGTTCAAGGTCCCCACTCAATCGCTTCCGTTTTCCGAATTTCGCTTTTTTTTTATGTTGGTTTTGTTAGATTGAGCTTTTTGTTTGGTTCCCTAGAAAATGTACCAGCAGCATAGAAGTTTAATCTGAAGTTTTTGGATGTAATTTGATTGGATAAACTGACCTAGTAAAGTTAGCTCACTTAGTATCTTGATTAAATGAAGAATGTGATCCAGATTTTGTTTTTATTTTCGAGTTAATCAAGCGGAGTGTACTAATGCGGTGATTAATTGTGTTACGCAGACGGCGACTGTGTTGGTTGGGGATGAAGAGATTCACTTGGTAGCCATGCCGAGTAAGCAGAAGAAATTTCCGTGCTTTTGGTGCTATGCGGTTCCTCTAGGTCTGTACAGTGCTTCTCTAGGAATGCTGAATCTGAGGGTTCTTTCAATTGTGTTTGATCTCGATGAGACGTTGATTGTTGCCAACACCATGAAGTCTTTTGAGGATAGAGTTGAGACTTTACGAAGCTGGGTTGCACGCGAGAGTGATGGGGTTCGAATGGCCGGAATGTCTGCTGAAATGAAGCGGTACATGGACGATAGGTGGCTGTTGAAGCAGTACATAGATAATGATTGTGTGACGGATAATGGAAAGTTGTATAAGGTACAACTAGAGGAGGTTCCTCCACTGTCTGATAACCACGAGAAAATTGTTCGGCCTATCATTAGATTGCCAGAGAAGAACATTGTGCTCACTCGCATCAATCCTGAGGTGATCCTCTAGTCATGTTTGTTTCTTTATGTTTTATGTGTTTGTGTCCTTTTGTTTTATATGTTTGGCCTGGTGGATTGGGAAGTGCGCTAAATGCCTTTTTTTAGAGATAATGAATGAGCGGATTGAGACAATACGTTGCAATATCTCTCATTCCTAGGACTTGAGAACAACACCATCCTAATGCAAAAGTTATGAAAACTACGTAGTGTGTCCCTTAGGCAGACAAAATATTTGGCTGCATGCTAAGAGCGTAGGCGAATCTTGTTTGCAATTCAGTTTTAAATTTTTTTTCATTTAGCTAGACCTTTGTAGGTTTTCCAAACACCTGCATTGCTTTTTTGATCAACGTATGGATGTTAACTTTTTTATCCATTGATACATGCACCCGTTCTGTGCGATATTTACCTCTTAAATTTTCCAAAATTCATGTGGCGGTTTGATTAGTCAGGAAGCTGTCAGAACTTATATAGTAAAACATCTGTCCTCTTACAAAAAAGTAGAATGAGTGATATGTAGTTAATCTCATTATAGTAGCTACATATTCTCATACAAATGTGCAAAGGACTACAATACAATGTTGTTTTTAATGCAGAATCGCGATACCAGTGTGCTTGTGCGGTTACGACCTGCATGGGAAGATTTGAGAAGTTATTTAACTGCAAAAGGACGCAAGAGGTTTGAAGTTTACGTCTGTACTATGGCTGAAAGAGATTATGCCTTAGAAATGTGGAGGCTTCTTGACCCAGGGTCACACTTAATAGACTCAAAGCAGCTTCTGGACCGTGTTGTTTGTGTTAAATCAGGCTCCAGGAAATCTTTACTCAATGTCTTCCAACAAGGAGTGTGCCATCCAAAGATGGCAATGGTTATTGATGACCGTTCCAAGGTCTGGGAAGATAAGGATCAACCTCGAGTCCATGTTGTTCCAGCATTCACCCCTTATTATGCTCCTCAAGCAGAGACAGCTAGTGCAGTTCCAGTCCTCTGTGTAGCAAGAAATGTTGCATGCAATGTCAGAGGTTGTTTTTTCAAAGAGTTTGATGAAATTTTGTTGCGAAGAATTTCTGGAGTTTTTTATGAAGATGAGGTGGTAAATTTGCCTCCTGCTCCTGATGTGAGCAATTACTTGATGTTCGAGGATACCGGTTTTGCACCAAATGGAAATGCTAATGCTCCCATTAGTGAAGGAATGAATGGTAGCGAAGTGGAACGAAGATTGAACCCATCTGATGATAAGGGTAGCGTGGAGTCAGTGGTTCAATCTGTGAAAAATGCCGAGTCAAGGTGTGACAACTCTCAAGCACCGACTGCAATTCTTCCCAATGCTGCCGGTACATCTTTGAGGCCGGTCATGCCTTCTCAGAAACCTGGTCTGCTTGGACTTCCTGTTAGACGAGATAGCTTTTCTGATCGTGACCATGAAATGAGGAGAGGACTCCTTGGTACAACTCCTAATCTAGATATAAGGAGTCAAAGCTCTGCTGAGCCCCCTCTTCTATCTAGAGTGCCTGTACAACTGCCAGCATCCTCAATAAATGCACAAGGAGGATGGTTGGTTGATGATGACGACAACAATAGAGGACATCCGAGTAATCGCCCTTCTGGGCTTGTTCAGCAGCCTGATGTTTCAAAACCTGAAAAGTCAGTTTACCAGAATCCTTTCAGTCCTGCTAAACCAGGTTCGACACCCACTGGTTTGCTCTCACACAAATCAGATTTAAAGAGGGAAGAGGTATGGTCAGAATTTGTTAAAATTTCTTTAAGAGACTTGTTTTGACAATTTGAATTAAGGTGTTACTATAAGAACTCCAGAAACATCTCAGTGGCCAAAACTTTCTCTATTTGCAGATATCATCTGGGTGTGATTTGCAAAATCTTCCTGTGCCAAGTCAGCCATCAGGTAATCTAATTTAGGATTTTTACCCAAAATGGTTCCTAAGATTGGCATAACTCCTCACTTTGGTCGCTGACAACGAAAATCGATAGAAGTGGTCCCTGAATTTGTCTGGAAATCATTTTGGTCATTTCATGAAAAATCTTAAACATACAAGGGAGACATTGATGTTCCTTGGAGCTCAGAAAATCTTAAAAATAGATATTTTACTTATTATCCATTAATTTTCAAATTACCTTTAACCTTGATTTTTAAGTTCCCTTTTGATTTGTCCTTATCCTCTCAAGTAGTTTGAAAGGTTTCTTTTATAAAATACTTGCTGCCTAACATCATTCTACTTTTTAAGTTTAAATGAGGAATATTTTTTTTAATATTAAAAAGAACTGGAGAGTCCAATAGTCTTCCCATCAGTCTTTTCCAATAGTCCAATAGTCTTTCCAACTTAGTATAGTTTAACATCATTCTGCTTTGTGCCTAATGAGCCTTTCCCCTTGTCTTTATCTTTATCTTTATCTTTATCTCCTTCGTTTTAATTTTATTAACTTGTAGCCTGTTAACCCCACAACTTGGAAGGATAGGAATGGGATTATCGTTTTGTCTTTGTACGGTTTTTGATAAAAAATTCACGAGATAAGTTATAATTTTCTATTAGAATTAATAGTATATGGTGTTTTTGAGGAGTGATTTGGTTTTTCGGTGCAGAGGCTGGTGTATCCCAGATTCAGGCATCTTCTTTGAATATAGAATCTCAAACAGAATCTGGTAAAGTAAACCTGGTACCATCCCCTTTATCTATTGGAGTGCTGCAGGAAATTGGACGGAGGTGCAGTTCAAAGGTATGAATAGCTTTAGTTTTATGCCCCCGTTGTGGCGCCCCATGCCCTCCTTTCTTTCTTATCTTTTTAATTTTTCCTAATGGAGTTATCCATGATATGCCCGTTGCTCAGATTGAGTTCAGGTCTGTTTTAAGCACCAGCAATGACTTGCAGTTTTCTGTTGAGGTCAGTGAACTTCCTTTCTTTCCCTTTGTACTTTGGTAGTTTAATTGCTTATTGACATCACAGCTGTTGTTCTGTGTAAATTATATGCCTTATATGTATGAAGTTGTTGTGAAATGACTTAATTATACCCAATAGATGTTTTATTTGAAATGTTGTCTTAAGGAGTGCTGTTTTCTAAATATAAGCTGACCCTGATTTGTCATTAATCTTTCTTTAGCAGAACAAATCAATGAAACCCGGCCAGGAGAAAATGTCTTTTTTTAAGAGCAATTTTGGAAAAAAATTTAAAGCTCCTTTCTTAATTTGTTTGTTTATACATTTTGCATTTGTACTTTATTTTGTTTTGAGGAGCTATCTTGTATCAATTTTGGACTCTAACGTGCTCATTGTTAACTTCGTTTTTAAAGGTTCTTTTCACTGGAGAGAAGATAGGTTTTGGAATGGGTAGGACGAGGAAGGATGCTCAACAACAGGCTGCTGAGAATGCCCTTCACAGCTTGGCTGGTAACTTTATTAGTTAACCACGTTTTTTTCCTTGCAGTTTTCTGTGGTATTTTTGTTTGTATGTGCTGAATGTATTTTGTGTGTCGGATGGCAGATAAATATGTAGCATATCTTGCACCTCGTTCTGGTGCCGTGGACAGAGATTTAAATAAAGGAAATGAAAACGGATTTCTATTGGACATGGTTGGTCCAGGATCGGCTGAGCTGCTAAGGGATGGATCGCCTAAAGAAAGAACTTCAGAGGTGGGGATAATTGCTGATGCTTTCATTAGTTGATTTGATTTTCTATGTTCAAAAACATAGGTGATGCTTGGATAAAGGGTATGTGGGCAAGACACTGAAAGGAGAACCACTCCTATTTTGAATTTTGCATCTCACGAAGATGTGATGGCTAAAACACTGTAAGCGGAATGAGCTGGCCTCAATGTTTGCTACTGCTGCTTTATTGGCTCCATTAATTCCTGTTTTGAAAGGTACGGGCTTGGTTGTCAGTCCCTCATTTCTACCCGTTATCCAAGTATTCCCATGTGCTTGATTTACCTCTGTTCTTTTCTCTTTTTGGTTTGAATGAATAGCAATTATTCGTACCTCAGTCGATATGTTTTTAGATATCCTCATCACCATTACCACCCCACTGTATGGCTTCTACTTGAATTTTAAACTTCTCATAGACTTGTTTTAAACTTCTCACAGATTTCATTTTTCTTCCCAATATTTGTGCTGGATCTAACTTGTGCATGTGGTGAAACCATTTCCATTTATCTCCTGTGAGAGGGAAGCTTCTGAACCCAAAATTACTATCTTCCTTTAACTGGAAACAGGAGACCTCCATCTAGTGTGTAATATTTTTGACTTTTGCGTTGAATTTCCTGATTAATGCCTGTGTGTTCAATGCCAAATATACAGGCTGCTGAAGTTGAACCTGGAAGTACTTTTACGGTGAGTCAGCAAGTTCTAAAGCGTGCCAGTTCCCCAAGGTAACACAACACTTATTTTCACCCTGTTTGAGCTGAGACATTTCTGAAACCAAATCTTTGTTATTTGCTGGGCAATTCTGGAAGCCTGAAGGGTTCTTGGTTGGATATAATATGGCCAAGTCATACTTTATGTTGATTTATGGCTTCTTTTGTGTTTCTGCTTGGATATTAGATGTCTTTATGGTTCATTTAGGCATTTTTTGAGTTTTTATTTTTTTATTTTTTCGCTTGGTGTTGCTAGGCCAGAGGTCAAATAGAACGAACTCCTAGCCTATGCGCAAATGTATATCTGTAAGATTGACAAGTAGTTCAAGATTATGGTCAGACACTGCCTGGGATATACAATAAAAGGCTCCAAAAGATTTTTGAGTTCAATGTTTACTATTTCATGAATGTCGGTGTTTCCTAAATTTTTCAATTTAGTTATTATCTTTTTGCAGATTGATAGAGTCGGTTGCAAAACGACCCAAGGAAGACATATTGCATGGTTCACGAAGTTTATCATTTTCACGGCAGCAGAGAATGGGGTTGCAGACAAACATTGAAACGAGTCATTTCAATCTTGGCTCCTGCTAGCGCATTCTTCCTCTTGCACTCGACAAATGAAACAATGGTCTTGGCGAGGTCCAGGTGGCTGCATCTCTCCCCAACCTCCAATGCTTTGTGAAAACTAAAGGAACAAGGAGGTAAAAGTAGAAAGACTGGCTTTTGGAGGCACACGACTTCGGCATCTTGTACAATTCGGAATATATTTACCCCTTTCGGAGAGCCAGTTTCAATATTGCCAACGCGGGTATGTGTATATTTTGTTGGTGGAAAGCTGGGCAAATTCTTTGTGTTTCTTTTTTCATCTTGCCCCATCTTTTCCTGCTTACATATTGAGGTTGGGGATTGCATCTCTGAATATAGTTCACATTTTTCCCCTTGAAAATTTTTACGTAGATTTTACTGATCATAAGATTGCAGCATGGAACCTGAAATTTAAGACCATCTTGTTCTCAAAACGAAGGAATTGTATTATCCCGTCAAAGTCCATAAGTAATTACATTGTGTTGGTTCCTTTTCAAATCTTTTTCACATCTTCGTACCCTAGTCATATGAATTCGATACGATACAGATAGACTAGACTGATTTTTGCATACTCATGTTAATGTGATTCATTCGATTATCCTTTGATTGCTAAAAATAAACAGTAGTGGGAAGAAGGGTGCGGAAATCATTTCTCCAGAAAATATGGTGTTGGAAATGATAAATTTTGATGTCCACTATATGTTCTTGCTTCAGGATCTATGGGAGGAATCAAATGCTGTAAATTAAAACAAGATTTAAATTTTGCTTCGGAATCTCGGATAATTAAATCTTGCTGTAAATCTCAATAGTCAACGTACTAGCATTTAGGGATAGACTGACCTCGCAAGGGCTTCTAATTCGGTCGGTTAAGAGCATTTACTCCTGCACCTGAAATTGTGAAGAGCACCCAATTCCATACGCAATGTGCTTGTTGATAACTAATATGGATCTCAGTCAGTACAGTTTGTTCTCCAGCTACCTGTTAGCTGGTAGCATCGGCAAGCAACTTCTTTGATACTTCTTGGACTCAGAATTTCAAGCTGCATTTTTCCTGCACAGCATAATTTCCGTTTCGGTCACAATGGAGGGAATCCAAAACTCTCCCGAGATTTGACACAATTCATCGCTAACTGGTTTCCTAATTATGTTCTAACCCGAAGGGCTATGCACAACAGAAATTTCAGCCACGCACGCTGCTTGGCTCCTTCGCATTCTTCATATAATAGTTCGACACATGAAAACATAACTCATCAAAAACACAAAAAGAAGGCGTTTATTTTACATCCGAAAGACGGAGTCAGGTGCTTTCCACTTCGACCAACTGCATTTTATGACAGTACTAGAAAAAAGCAACCAAATCCTTACAAAACTTGGTATTTGGTACAAATTTTCCTCTCACACATCATGCCACAGTTATATGACAAACTAAAAGAATACAAAAGCCTGAGCACTCTTGCATCATATCTACATATAACCGTTGTTTATAAGATTGCCTCTCTCTCCTCTTTGCAGGCTACCACAAAACTTCAGCAACAAAGCCGGAAGAGTAACAGCAGGCTGACGTGAATGCCGGAAATTCTCTACCCAGGTTTCCGGAAAAGTCAATACCAAAACAATCTGAAGTCAGACAGAAGGTTTTGCAGCATTCTACGACCCCATTGCATATCATTGTGCAAGACCTCGTTGATTGGCTCTGAGTTGGACTGTCCTCCCCCCTTAGCAGAATTCTCTCTCTCACTGATCGCGGAAGCTGTTTCCACTTGAGGTTGGCCGTTGCACAGGACACTATCATTGACGGGCTCTGAGTGGAATTGTTCATCGTCAAAATTCTCCTGATCGCCGTTGGTCATTACACTTGTTTCTGCTTCAGGTAGGTCACTGTATGGTTCTCGCTTCTCGTCTAACTGAATCCATTGGTTTGAGTACATGAAAAGATAGCAGAAAAGAGGACATCAATAACAGCATTATCAAGGGCCAAGAACATCTAAATCAAATACTGATGTTCGACAACAATGCATCGCCTTATGCATAGCAAAGAAAAATCATTCATCATGAACTCTCACATTTTTCAGGAATAGGGTTCCTCTAAATGCTGATGAATTAGCAGCATAAATAAAAGATACAAACGAAATGCTTGATAGAGAATTCCTTGTCACATTGCGAGTGTTAATAGTTTCAGTTTGAATCAGACAGCGCAGTTTCAATTTGCAATAGGAGAATACATGGCTATGGATTTGTATTGTAGCATACAACGTTTATTACACTGCAATGATATTGTGCAAAGAATCGAAGATGGTCAACTTTGTTGGTTAATGATTGTAACGAAAATACACGAACAGTTTCTTCATGCGAATTTATAGATGATTGCTCAATTTTGATGAAATTAAATAATTGCCTTGCGATACATCATCAACTTGAACTTCTCTTCATGGAAAACATAGATTCCAACAACATACAAGATGAAACCAAAAACTACCTAGTAGTATAGAATCTCTCCTATAGCCCTGGACAACTCGCGGTCTTATGGAAATGGAATGGATGTTATTTCAGGCTGAGGTAAATGCAGTACAAGAAGATACAGCAAAAGATAAAAGATACTTCACTCTCATCAAGCAGTTACCTCTGGCATATTACGATCCTTAGCTTCAAATGCTCCAACCGAGCCATCAAAAGACATCTGTTTCTCGATTCCCTCTTTGTTCACTTCTTCATTTGGAACAGCTGGTGAAGGAGTCAGCCCAGGTACCAGAACAGGACCTTCTTCGTGGTTAACTAGGCTTCCCTCGACGTGAGTGCTTGAAAGGTTCATTACTGTTGCAGCTCTACCATTATTTCCGCAGATGTTGTCTGCCACCAACAACTCCTTACTTGAGATGGCTGTAGAATCCTCGCTTGGAAAAATAACTCTCTCTTCATTAAGCACTGCAGTTCTTGTGGCAACTCGTTCCTTGTATGATTCCACATATGCCTTTGGCCATTTAGGGTTCACATTCTCTTGTGAAGGAGAACCATTATCAGCACCAATTTGTTCCTTCCTTGGTTCTACTGATGGTTTCTCTGCCGAATCAGTGTTACTATTGGTGATTTTCGGTTCATTGGTTGTATTGAAGGCCAGTTCACCATTCGGCTGTGTCAGGTTCTCATCCATATTCAACATATCTGCGTTAACATTTGAACCATCGCTTTGATTTGAAACCTGATCTTCCTCTATTATTTTCTGAAGCTCAGCATCTGCCCAATCTTCGGAAACAGTGATCCTGTTCATAGTTTCCCAGGTCTGGAAAATCCGATCAGGGCCAGGCTGCCATGAGATATTCCCTGTGCTTTCTTGTAGTATGAACTTGAACTGAATCGATTTCCCAACTGATATATCCTAATCAAACACAAACGCATTACATTAAACCACAAATTCTGCCTATACTAGACCCAAAAAAAAAAAAAAAAAAAATTACACTTTTTAGTAGATTTCACTCACCAGCTCAACAGTCCATACATTCCCATCTGACCAGTTCATAGGTATTGCGCTTGCAGGATCCCACAAACCGAACATAGGATCATCCCCTACAATGAGGAACTCCTGCCCGAACGAGCACTCCTTCTGCAACTGGAATCTCACACGAATAGTTTTTGTATGATCTGCACGACATGGTATTGTTAGTAAGATTAATATGCACATACACACACACACACACACATATATATATATATGTATGTATGTATGTATTATATAATATTTTAAAAGAAACAGCATGAACTTACATGTTTCCTGAATTTGAGAATCTGCAATCTCCAATTCTGTCTGCAGAGAGAATGCTCAGAAATCAGATTGACTATCTCAGTGCAAGTTTATTCTCCAGTAACTAACTTAATAACCATTAACACTTTATGACATGGAAACAAATTCTTCAAACAAATATTCTAAATGATGACTACATCCCTAAAGAAAGAAAACAAATTATGACAAATATCAGAAGGCTTAGACAAGATTAAAAAGGTCGTATCCAGTGCACAAGGCTCCCGCTTTACGCAGGGTCTGGGAGAGGTGAATGTCGGCTTAGACAAGATTAAACAAATAAAATCACATGATTATATAATAAAGCTTCCATATAATAATCTACTCCAAAAAAAGGAAAAAATAATGAGAATCTAGCAAAACCCTCTTGAGCCCCAACCTAAAAAGCAAGATTCCTAAACTTTACACAAAGAAAAGAATGATGACAAAAAACAAGAACAACATCACACTCCAGAATTTTTGAAAACGGAGAAAGCGAAAATGGAAACTTCATCAAAATTTCAAAAACCAGGAAATGAAAAAACTGAATTTATGATAACTATTCAGAAAAAAGATAAAAGAATCCACCTGGGTTTTTGATGAGAGGCAAATGATCGGTCTGATCACGGGCTTGCTCTGTTTCAGAAAACACACCAAATTCAAGAACCGAAGATTCCACTTCTCTTTGGCCTTATGCACAGCAACGAAATCATTCATCATGAACTCTTTCACATGTTTTTAGGAATAGGGTTCCTCTAAATGCTCATGAATTTCCAGCAGAAACAAAAGATATAAACGAAATGCTTGATAGAGAATTCGTTGTCATATTGCGAGGGTTAATAGTTTCAGTTGAATCAGACAGCGCAGTTTGGATTTGCAATAGGAGAATACATGGCTACGGATTTGTATAGTAGCATACAACGTTTACACTGCAATGATATTGCACGAACATGGTCTAACAAAAATACATGAACAATTCTTCATGAAAATATATAGATGACTGCTCAATTTCGATGAAATTAAATAATTGCCTTGCGATACATCATCATCATGAAATTCTCTTCATGGAAAACATAGATTCCAACAACATACAAGATGAAACCAAAAACTACCTAGTAATTCAATCTCTCCTATAGCCCTTGACAACTCGCGATTTTGTGGAAATTGAATGGATTGTTATTTCAGGCTGAGGTGAATGCAGTACAAGAAGAAACAGAAAAAGATAAAAGATACTTCACGCTCATCAAGCAGTTACCTCTGGCATATTACGATCCTTAGCTTCAAAGGCTCCAACCGAGCCATCAAAAGACATCTGTTTCTCGATTCCCTCTTTGTTCACTTCTTCATTTGGAACAGCTGGTGAAGGAGTCAGCCCAGGTACCAGAACAGGATCTTCTTCATGGTTAACTAGGCTTCCCTCGATGTGAGTGCTCGTAAGGTTCATTACTGTTGCAGCTCTACCATTATTTCCGAAAATGTTGTCTGCCACCAACAACTCCTTACTTGAGATGGCTGCAGAATCCTTGCTCGGAAAAATAACTCTCTCTTCATTAAGCACTGCAGTTCTTGCAGCAACTCGTTCCTTGTATGGTTCCACGTATGCCTTTGGCCATTTAGGGGTCATATTCTCTTGTGAAGGAGAACCATTATCAGCACCAATTTGTTCCTTCCTTGGTTCTACTGATGGGTTCTCTGCCGAATCAGTGTTACTATTGGTGATTTTAGGATCATTGGTTGTATTGAAGGCCAGTTCACCATTCAGCTGTGTCAGGTTCTCATCCATAATCAACATATCTGCGTTAACATTTGAACCATCGCTTTGATTTGAAACCCGATCTTCCTCTATTATTTTCTGAAGCTCAGCATCTGCCCAATCTTCAGAAACAGTGATCCTGTTCCTAGTTTCCCAGGTCTGGAAAATCCGATCAGGGCCAGGCTGCCATGAGATATTCCCTGTGCTTTCTTTTAGTATGAACTTGAACTGAATCGATTTCCCAACCGGTATATCCTAATCAAACACAAAGGCATTACATTAAACCACAAATTCGGCCTACACTTGACCAACACAAAAAAAAAAAAAAAAAAAACACTTTTTAGTAGATTTCACTCACCAGCTCAACAGTCCACACATTCCCATCTGACCAGATCATCGGTATTGCGCTTGCAGGATCCCACAAACCGAACATAGGATCATCCCCTACAATGAGGAACTCCTGCCCGAACGAGCACTCCTTCTGCAACTGGAATTTCACATGAATAGCTTTTGTATGATCTGCACGACATGGTATTGTTAGCAAGATTAATATGCACATATACACACAGATACACACACACACACACACACACACACACACACATACAGGCCCTTTAAGGCTTCCTATATCTAAATATATGTATTGTATAATATTTTAAAAGAAACAGCATGAACTTACGTGTTTCCTGAATTTGAGAATCTGCAATCTCCAATTCTGTCTGCAGAGAGAATGCTCAGAAATCAGATTGACTGTCTTAGGTCAAGTATAGTCTCTAATAACTAACTTAATCACCATCAACACTTTATGATATGGAAACAAATTCTTCAAACAAATATTTTAAATTATGACAACATCCCTAAAGAAAGAAAACAAATTATGACAAAGATCATAAAGCTAAACAAGATTAAAAATAAATTAAATGATTATATAATAAAGCTGCCAATTATTAACCTACTCCAAAAAAAAAAAAAAAAAAAAAGGAGAATCTAGCAAAACCCTCTTGAGCCCCAACCCAAAAAAGCAAGATTCCAAAGCTTTTGGCAACACAAAGAAAAGAATAATGACAAAAAGCAAGAACAACATCATATTCCAGAATTTTTGAAAACAGAGAAAACAAAAATGGAAACTTCATCCAAATTTCAAAAACCAGGAAATAAAAAAACTGAATTTATGAGAAGTTTTTCAGAAAAAATGATAAAAGAATCCACCTGAGTTTTTGATGAGAGGCAAATGATCGGTCTGATCACGGGCTTGCTCTGTTTCAGAAAACACACCAAATTCAAGAACCGAAGGTTCCCACTTCTCCTTGGCCTGAGGAAACAAGGTTCCAGCTCGCGGGGAAAGACATTTTCTCTGCCCACCCACTTCTTTTCTACCGCCACCCTCGAACTCGGACTCGACAGGGTCCTCATGACTCGGTCACCGACTCACCCGAGTTGCACTCGCACTCAAAGCTTGTTGCTTTCTGGATTTCCACAGAGAGAGAGAGAGAGAGTATTTGGTTGTTTGCTAGTGGGGGTCTCTGTCACTTTTATATAATGAGCAATCCAGTTCAAGTGGCATATATAGTGGTGGGGTCCTCCTGGGGAGAGGTTGGATCCGCCTCCACGTGTAGGTTGGGGACACGTCATCGGTCATTTGGGTTGAATTGAATCTGGCTTTGCAACCCCAACCAACTGTTCTGTAACTGTTTGTAGAGAGATTGACCTGCAAGAAAATGCTGTGGCCCTTGATCCTCATATACTCCGTGATGACTGCTTTTTCCGATCGGACAATCTCAACCCTTGATTCGTTTCAGTGTCAAATGGTAAGCACTACAAAGGTGGCATATGTTACGTTGCTATGTCCAATTTGGTTGAATGTTGAACTAGTAACTTCATAATGGTTCTCTACTTTTTTTTATTATACATAAAATATGTTAACGAGAAAAAGAGAAAACAAATAGTAAAGAACAAACAGCTTTCATCACAAGAAAAAAAAAAAAACAGTAAAGCTAACAACACCGTATCAAAGCAGCAACAACAAACACAAACTATTCATAGGTATATTCTATTCCCGTAAAATAAGCTCATTAATTAGCAGGGGAATGAGTGATTTTCCAAGAACTCAATAGAATTCCAACAATGGGATGGGAGGCAAGGTTACAACGAGGATACAACGTACATGGATGTATACAGCTTCGGGATACTTTTGTTAGAGATGTTCACAGAAAAATGTCCCACCAACGACCTGCTTAAAGACGGACTACAACTCCATAACTTTGTTAGCAAAGCATTGCCTGAACAAATATCCGAAGTTTTAGACCCATCGTTTGTTGAAGGAGGGGAAGGAGAGGATGAGGAATCAACTTGCAAAGACAAAAGTATCGTGGGGCAGCGAAAAGATGAACTGAACCAGGACTGCCTGATCGAAATATTCAGAATCGGAGTTGCTTGTTCAGTGTACTCCCCGTGAGAGAGAATGGATATTAATCATGTTGTGAAGGAATTGCTGCAATCAAAGACACACTTATTGGATCTGCATTGAATTAAGGCCAATGCAGCAGGTAATTAAACTCTGCACTGAACAAATTAATAAATTTCTGAATTCTTTCGGAGATAGTAACGTAACTGAATATATACATAAAGATATTTGGTTTTCGTTTTTGCAGTGACACAATAGAAGAGAAGAAGCGATGTCTTCAAAAGGGAAACAGAATGTCTTTTATTTTTCAAACGAAAGGAAAAATATATTGCATAAACAGATTATATAACTATTGCTTGTTCTGCTATATAAAATACAGAATTCATATGTCTTTCTTTATTTTTCAAACATGATACAAAACTATGCTTTTATTAATAATCTATATGTAGATGAGGCCTGCACGTTGAGATTAATAATCTATATGCTTCTTCTTCTTCTCAAACCGAGGTACGAGTCTCTGATAGTCTTCATTTTGTTCACAACGACATCCATATGCATCCGCTCTCCTCGTGAAATCGCAGAGCATGAAAGCCCTATCTGCATCATCGAAACCAAGCACTCCTCCAATTTTCTTCCTTGGACTAGGTCGTAATCCTGATGTCTTGCAATCGGTCTTTCTTGTATGTCATTTCTGTATCTGCTATCAGCAGCTTCCATGTCATCTCCTTATGTCAATGACATGGTCAGGCAATGCCATAGCAGTAAATTGGTGAATGCTTATACCATCTCTGAACATGTCACCAGTAGGTCTTTTTCCTGTGAACATTTCTAGTAACAGTACTCCGTAACTATAAATATCTCCAAATATGGAAACTTGGCCTCCTATGCCGTACTCTATAGTTAAATACATGTGTTAAGATATCACAACATAACGAATGTAATTTCAATCGTATTCAAGAATGTTCTAATACTTTCTTTTCAAAAGAAGAAATCTAATTTTAATTTTTTTTAAAATAAAAATTTGGCTTTTAACAAGGATCCATACCTGGACGAATGTAGCCTACGGAACCTTTCAGCCCCACTGACATTGCTTGACTTTGGGTGGAATCATTGATGATTCCGAGAGGAACCTTGTTAATCCAAAGTCACCAACATGGGCTACCATATCTTCATTAAGAAGAACATTGCTTGGCTTTAGATCACAATGAACAATGGATGTTTCACAATGGTGGTGCAGATAATCCAACGCGGAAGCAACATCAATGGCAATATTCAATCTTTGGTTAAGGCTTAATCTCTTAATCTGAGATTGCTCCTTGTCTCTTGGATACAACCATGAGTCTAGACCTTTAAATTCATTACCTTCCATATGAAGGCGCCGCAACATAATACAACTGCCAATAGTTTTGGGGATTTCACCTGATAATTTGTTTCCTGATACATCGAGCTCCGCGAGATTTTCCAAATCTCCCACTTCAGGCGGTAGCGGACCAGTAAAATAATTGTTAGCCATGATCAAAGAAATTGAAAGGGATGAAATTCTTGCTTAGGGAGGAGGGAATCAGACCAGAAAATTTGTTTGTATTTAAAATCAATACCTCTAACTTCTGAAGCTTCCCAATCTGAGCGGGGACACTACCATCAAAATATTACCTTCCATTACCAGAAGGTTCAAGTTTACCAGACTTCCGATAGCGATAGGGATACTTCCATGAATCAAATTCCTCCCAAGAGTAAGAACTTCGAGTTTGGTCGAAATGTTGGCTATGGATGTTGGCAATATTGAGAGATCTAAACCAGCCACAAGTTAGTTACAACAGTAAATAGTTAGTTGTGGTATTTGTGTAGTTAGTTGTATAAGTGTAAAGACTCTTTGTGACTATATGTATCCCTGTGTACTGACAATTAAGCTATGAAATGAAAATATCTTCTTCAACACTTTCCACATGGTAACAGAGCTAACTATTTACTGTTGTAACTAACTTGTGACTGGTTTAGATCTCTCAATAAATTCAAGCTATTGGAACTGGAACTGGCTCTATATCAATTTCTGCTGGTGGAACTGGAAGATATTGTTCTTCCTTGGCGGTGTGGATGGTCACCAAATCAGGCAATGGAGTCATTGGTCCCTGCTTTCCCTTAGGATCCCAGTCGAGCATGATCTGCACCTTAATACCAAGCACACCCTGTCTAAGAAGAACGTGTACAGCAAATCTAATCAACCAAAGTAATTTATCGTCGTCGATTGAGTCCTCCAACTGCTTTCTTCTCTTTGGTTTTGCTTTTGCTGCCCATCTGATTTGGGCTTAGGAGTTTTGGGATTTGGGGTTCGCGATCAGAACAGCAGAAGCAGCAATTGATTGAATTTCATGGAATCACGGGCGTTGGGGAACGCCAACTGAAGTGAATCAGCTTTTCTCCTCTAAGGCCATCTCTAACCGAAGGGTCCAGAGGGTCAGAGGGCCGAAAATAGCCCTAAAATCGTCTCCAACCGAGGACTAGGCCAGAAGGCTCTGGAATCTGGGAGGGCCCTACGGGATCAGAGAGGGCTGGAGGGCTGGCTGCTTTCGGCCAGCCAGCCAGCCCTGGGCTGGCTATTTTTTTTTTTAATGTTTTTTTATTCCTGTCGGTTATACTAAATAATGGTGTATTCTTGTCGGTTATAACCGACATGATTGTTTTAAAAAAAATTCAAATGAAACGGCTACTAGCCGTTGCATTTGATTTGTTTTTTTTTTTTTTACATTATTATTATTCTTTTTTATTTACAACATTTTTCATATAACTTCTATTTTTTCCTATAATTTTTATTTCACAAAATTTGGTTTTTTTTTAAATTCCATTTTTTTCCTATAACTTCTATTTCACAAAATTTGTTTCATATTTTTTTTTTTCTATATTCACAAATTTTCTTTCCAAAAACTTCTATATTTGTTTCATATTTTTTTTTTAAATTCCCTTTTTTTTCCTATAACTTCTATTTCACAAAATTTGTTTCATTATTTTTTTTTTTTCAATTTTTTCTATTCTATTTTTTTCCTATAACTTCCTAAGCCATTATACAACATTAAATTAAATTAAGTAACATGAAACAACATTAAATAATATGAAACAACATTAAATAAAATTAACCAACATAAAAATTATACAACATGAAACTTAAACAACATTTTAGTTGTAGTTTTTAAATAATAAATTATGTTTGGCCTTATGGCCCTTTGGCCCTCAGTTGGAGATTGTTTTTTGTGATAGGGCTAAAACGAGCACTCTGGCCCTCGGTTGGAAACGGAGGCAAATATGGCCCTGTACTGTTCATTAAAATATTAATATCTTGAAGAATCTTGGAGGGCCAGAGGACTAAAACGAGCCCTCTGGCCAGCCCTCGGCTAGAGATGGCCTAAGTCCAAGGGGACAGACATAAATAAACGCGCCAATAAAAGACGTTAGGGGGTAAAATCGGAATCTCAATAAATTACTTTGCTTGGGCCTGTTTTATTGAATTGATTTGATGTTTGGATTTGTTCTAATCATTAAATAAAGTTATTACATGATTTTTGGTTAGAATTCAAAATTTTGAAATCATTTTTATTGGTTTTTATTTTTAATTTCATTGTTTTTAATTAATTAAAAAAAGGTATAAATAAAAATGTGCACCTAATCAAATTATCACATAAAATCATAAAAACTTCAAATTTAAGGATTCTACTATAAGGACTCTCTCGTTGGAGGCAATATTCCTTTAGGGACACAAAGATTCCCTTTAAATCCTTAAATGAGTACTCAAAAGTGGTGGTGGAAGTTCTTAAGAGCAGCTCCACTGTATTCAATAGCCCGGTGGACCGGCTGTTGCTCCAACCCAATTGCCCTAGCTAGCAGCTCCACCCCATGCATCAATCATATACATCCATTCCTAGCAAAGCTCCATGAAATTTCAACCTTTAAGAAATTGTCTTCTGGCATTTTTTGAAGCAAAATCATCAATTATATCATCATACTCCAAGTCTTCAATCTTATCATTTTCAATGCATAAGATTGCTAATTCATTTAGCATATCTTGAGTCATAGTGGTCCGCAAGCAAGATTTTAATAATTTCAATTTTGAAAAACTTCTTTCTGCAGATGCCACGGTCACAGGTATAGTCAACAGTACACGATAAGCAATCAAGACATTATGACACATGTCAGTTTCTTTTACAAAGTTTGCTATTTCCATGGATGTCCAAGGGTTATTAAAGAGAAATGTTTCTTTAGGTAACATCATTTGCAACACCTGTAATTCGGAACATAAGTCGGCTTCATCTACATCCATGGTATTTCCATGTTTCAAATGTGCTTCAAGATTTATACAATTTTCTTTTAGTTGTTGATCATCCAATGAAATTAACTTCGATGCATCAAACAAGAAGCCAAAAATAGATTAAAAAATCTTTAATTGTTCAAACCTGTGTTTCAGTTGAGAAAGAGCAATATCCACTATAACAAAAAAAAAATATGTTCTAAATGATTTTTCAGCAGACTATTGTTCCTTCTCATTACCATCAACTTCATCATGATGTCTTTTTCTAGGTCTATAATGTTTAGTTTGAAAAACATGGTCAATTTCTGAATCAAGTGCAATTTCTCTAACATCACGCATGGCAGAAGCAAAACCAGTTTCTCTATAGTTTTCAAAAAATTTAACAATTGCTTTCAATACCTTTACAGCAACATCAAGACGCATGTCTTCAGATTGTAATTTTATGCTCACAATGTTAATCTTCAACAAAATGTCATACCAAATAACCAAACTTAATACAAAATCAAAACTGGAAAGTTCTCCTGATGCTAAACATCTTGCATCCCTACTCAATTGGGGATTCTTAATAATTTCCATCAACGTAAACAAAGCATTTATAACTTAGGCTACTTGGGATTTAATTGCTTTAACACTTTCAATGTGACTTTCCCATTGAGTAGTTGACAATGACTTCAAAGTTAAATAATCAATATGTTCAAGCAAAAAATTCCAACGCTTTGTAGAGTTGGAAAACACTGTATACATGCATTGACATGCTCCAAAAAAAAGATTTTGCTTTAAGACATGAACTTGCCATATCACAAACTATTAAATTAAGACAATGAGAACCACATGACATGTAAAAGGCTCTGGGATTTATGTCTAGCAATCTTTTCTGGACACCTTGGTGTTTCCCTTTCCTGTTAGATCCATTATTATAACCTTGTCCCCTCACATTATCAATATCAAGATCAAGAGACTTTAGGACATCTTGCAACTCATTAAAAAGTCCTTGTCATGTATCTTCCACACGTAAAAACTCCATAAAATACTCCCTTATATTTATTGACCTACTTGACAAGTCAACACATCTCAAAATTAAATTCATCTGTTCCACAAGACTTGCATCAGGAGTATAATCAAGTATGACAGAAAAAAATTTGGCTTCTTTTACCTTTTTAATGATTGCGGTTTTGACTTTTGAAGCTAAAGTAGCTATCAACTCATTTTGGATTTTATGGCTCAAATAGTGATGATGAATCTCTTTATTCCCAATGAGTTGAAAATGCTTTTGCATTATTGGATCAAACTCCGCAGTCATTTCAAGTAAACCTAAGAAGTTGCCATTAGAGTCTTCATAAGGTCTTTCATTTGTTCCAATTACGTATGGCAAGACATTTCACAACAACAATAATTCGGAGCATCACTTGTTTCCAATGATTTGTCTCTTTCTTGATTCGCATTTGAAATTCTTTATCAATTGTCTGATTTTTTTTGTCAATCTACTTTTCAACTCAACCCAAGTTCTCGAATTAGTAAGATGCTCTTTACTCTTTTCATGTTGGTCAAGCTTCACACCAAGATGTTTCTAATCATTAATTTCATCTTTTGCTAACTCACTTTTTGAGTCAATTATTTTAAACAAGTTACAACAAAAGCAAAAGACTTTATCCAACTCTTTTGAGTACACGAGCCATTTTCTATCATAAATTTCACCCGTTGGTAATTTTCGATCATAGTAGTGTGAGAAAAAATTTCTAGAGAGTTTGTCTTTACAATAAGTGAGATTAGTTTCTCGAATTGATCCATTTTCTACAAGTAAGTCTCTCAATTCTGTATTAAGACCATCCCAAACTCTTGGATCATAAATGTTTAAATGGACAATAGGTTCAGGAGATTCAATATTTTTCTCTACACCAATATGATCATCATCAATATTTAAATCCACATCACCACCATTTTCATGGTCTTGAGACTCATCACCAACATTTTCTTCTAAATCACCACCATTTTCAGGATCATGAGACTCCCCAACAACATTTTGTGACTCTTCACCAATTTCATTTTCTCTCAAATTTTCAACTAACTTATTCTTTGTAGAGAGGAATTTATTAAGAGATCCTCTTAAATTTTCGGCAATTTCGTTATCCTTTGCCTTTTTTTCCTTTTCATATTACTAGAGAGTTATTTCCTAAAATATATGGCTTCGATAATTTGTTTGTAAAAATTACCTACACATGATATAAAAAAAATATCCTATCAAAATTATCATTCCAACACATATTATATATTATAAAAACACTAACATAAAGTCTAACATATTATAAAAATTGAACCCAAAAATTGGGTTTGAAATGAAATCAAATAATTAAATTAGTCAAGAATTCAATTCATCAACAACAATTATATACATCAATTATCATATAATTCTATATCACTTGAAAAATTTTATATTAAATTATGAATTGATAATTCAAATTTTAAAAATTAATTTACCTCAAAACTCAAAGGGGTTGGTGGTGAGTGAATGCTCTTGCACTTGAGCAGCCAATGCCCAATGTTATGTGATTGTTGTTTGCCTGTGTGCAACAGCTTGCTGTTGAACTTTTGAAAAGGGAGTCAGGAACTAAGGAACGGCAGGGAGGAAGTGGGGAACAAAAGGGGGTGGCCGGGGTGGGAATTAGGGTCGTAAGGTTATGGGAAATCGGGAAAGGGTTGTAAAATGGAGATCGAGTGGTCCCTCTAATAGTCTAATGTCTGATTTTGTTTTGTTTTTTTGTTTGTTTTTTTTTTTGCTGTAATTCCCAAAACCTGGACCCAGTGGTCCCAAATCCCAAAACCTGGACCCAGTGGTCCCAAAACTTGGGCCCTTTTTAAAACTTTCTTGGGCTCTTGCCCTCCAGCCCTTATTTGGGCTTTGGACTTTTTTATTTTATTATATATATACCAAGTTATTTGGGTTTTTTTTTTTGGTGCCCCCTTCAATTTGGGGCCCTGGACAGCTGGGCCTGGGCCGGCCCTGCCGAGAAAGTTATTTAAGAAGATAATGAGGGTGTGTGCGAGGAAGAAATAATCATGATAATAAAGAATTTGCCCATTTTTTGGGAGTTCTAGATAAGGTTTGCGCTCGATGAGCA